ACTGAACGTGACCCTATTCACTACTATTATCAGGCGCTGTGTCTAAAGATAGGTCTGACGTACCTAGGATGCAAAATCTAAAGATACGTCAGACGTACCCAGGACGCGGAGTCTGTGTCGGGTGTCCTAGCGTAGGCAGTCGGACTGCGGCCGGACGCTCCCGCTGGTGTATTTACAGCAGTCCGAAAGCGTTCCACGCTTGCGTCTTATCGACCTTGCACAAGTGGCTGGCAGCCGCTTGGCCTGGCTGCCGTGTGATACACGGGCGTGTGCCTGTCGTGTGTAAAAACGCGTGGAGTGCCAAGAAAATCAAACATTGTGTCTAACAAACTACCGATTTCAAATTCCCCGACTTTTTCAAGTTTTTCCCTGACTATTTTGATCAAATTCGCTGAGTTTGAGTCGAAGGATGACATTTCGGCAATGTCATTCAGCATGGCCGTGCCGACGAGCAACCGCCATGCCGCTTTCACTAGTCGTCTTCCCTTATTTAGCCCACTTTTTGAATGATTCCCTGACTTTCCCAGATGATCCGAAATTCCCTGGGAGTTCAAGGCTTTCCAGGTTGGCAGACACCTTTTGAAATTTCGGCACGCGTTTGCGGGGTTTAGTGATCGGGAAGCTGCTCGAGAACAACATAACTATAAGAGAAGCTGGTACAGTACTGCTTACACGACTGTGGTCCCTTCACAGAAGGCACCCGGCAGGCGGCCGGGAGCCGCCGTCCGCCCGGAGTGACCGCCGTCGGTCTTTTTCACGTCACTACGGATCACATAGTGAAGTGGTCCGTAGTTAGGTCAGCACCGAGCAGTTCGGAGATTTCAACACTTCACTCGCTGCTTCAAATGCGAATCTTGACGGTCGAGCTAAGAAAATTGCCCGGGCACGTCCGCCGTACCGTTAGAACTCCGCGTTCTGGTTACGTCCTACATACCTTTAGACTCCGCGTTCCGGATGGGTTCGACGTATCCTTCGACTCAACGATTATGGAGGAGCTCCCGTGGTTAACGATTGCGGATATTTTAATTAAACTCGAACGACCGAGCGATGTCCGAGGTAGTGATCCGAGCCCGTACGAGAAGCACGGGACCGAATCTGGCTTACTCTGAATTAAATAAAAAAGAAAAGCCTCATTCCCTCGTACTTCACGTTATTCCTACGCGGGAGAGCACACAAAACCCTCAAAAACCGAATTCCGCTCACGAAATCCACACACTCCGATCAACGCCCATAACGCTTCCGACACGCACTGGGCGCTGCCATCTTATCGTTGACGCCAGAGATTTGGTCTGGTTACGTCATAGATTTGGCCTTGTCACGTGTCTAGTGGTCAAAATTGTACAACATGGCGGCGGTCAATTGGGGGTCACTTTCAGCTGCCAGTTTATCACTCTAATGCCCTATACCTCGTTGACCAGGACCAAAGACGTCACATATCGCGCGCTTTCGGCAACGCGGGTCGCTCTCGTAAATGGAGGAGGTTTCCGTATCGTCCGGTTATAATATGATGCGCTGATATTTAGTTACTCTCTCCGTGCCCCTGGCTTGCCCGAACCCCAAGAGACGTGGAAACCGCAAAAACGGTAGACGCTTAAATATGATTGCAGTGCCCCTTTAACTACTTTTCTGAGTAGTGTATTAACTTTCAGTTAAATTTTTATTGTGGTAATTGTTTTAATTTAATTACTTTTTCTGAGTGACTTCCACTGAAATTACGAATTACTTCTGAATTTTAGCGGTAGGTTTGCTGGTTAACAAACATTCCTGCACAAAAATAGATAAGATGCTAGAAGATCAGCTGATATTTGCCAAGGGGGGGAAGCATTTGGCACAGGCAGGGGCTGGGGAGTGGTTTGGAGGTCCCGAAACCCACTGAACATTTTACGAGCCCCCCACTCTAACAACCCCGCTACGAGGCGCGGGGAGCGCACATTCAAGTGGGAATTGAGGCTCAGTAAATGAGGGATTAGCGCCGAAGATTGGAATTTTTTTGTGTCCCAAAGCTCAAGGAGACTTGACGTATTTAAAGAAAGGGCTTGTCCCCGCTTCTCCACAACGTAAAAACCATCGCCCACTGCAGCCTCGCTCAAAGGATTCAACAAAATGCAGCACTTGATCTAATGCCCATCTGGTGCTCCCGAAGTTTGTGCTGTACACGAAGGATCGCGTGCTAAAGGGCAACGCAAAGGTGACCTCTTTGCGTTGCCTTTCCTCCCAAACCTCAGTCAGCATATGCAGGTGTTTCAAGATTCGAAGATTGCTCGAGAATCCTAACAATCTCCTCAACCCTTTTTGCAAAAACAGAAACAAAAAAAAAAACCAAAAAAAAAAAAAACCCGGTAAATTGGGAAGTATTTGAAGTTCTATTTGAAGTAAGATTAGAAAACTTGTATACTTTACCTGAAGTACATTCTCTGAGCATGTACTCGTGCTTTACTAAAGTATTTTTCTGATAATTTCTGATGAAAATAAAGTTCCCTACGTCAAAGTACATTCCTAAATTTGAAAAAAAAAATGTATCGTCATGTGAAAACGCGCAATCTCCTGTCGAGACGTCATCTGGTCATTTTTCTGTGTGAAGTGATGGCCGCTATAAGTCCGATACAAGTAAGTGCCTTATAAGTGTATTGTGTTAAATATTCCGTAAGCGAGAGTCGAACTACTCTGTGGCGACTCGGCTTTATCCAATATTTTCCGTCATTTCCGAGAAAAACTTATGCTCCTCCGATTACTCCAGGAGCAATGCATACCATTTAAAATAAGGTTAAAAAGTGTGTTGTATTTATAGTACTTTACTTCACGTACATTGCACCCGGTGTACTTACTATACTTGAATTGCATAGCCTCTAATTGACTTTGTACTTTACTTATGAGTACTTTTTAGATCTATTTTACACAACACTGTAAAGAAGCGAACACTGCCTGCAAAAATCAAGCTTAGGCAGTGCAAAACCTCAAAGTAGAAATGATACATCCGCAGTTCATCATTGATCATAAAACAAAAAAAAAGTACAAAACAGTTAATCACACAGAAGCAGAACCAGCTATTAATGCATTTATGTGAAAACAGAAGCCGCTTTCTTTTTGGCTTGCAGAATTTTGCTAACAAATCAAAACATTTATGCACTTTCTTGTTATTATTAAAAATATATATAAAAGTAACTTTGCAAGTAATTTGCTATTTTTTGTTACGGTAGTTAGTAATTTACTCAATTACTTTTCATTTGAGTAATTTCTACTCTACTTAAATCAAGTTTGAGGCGAATGCTCAGCAACTTGACTTAATTACTTTTTTGAGTAACTTGTACATGTCTGCATTGCGGGCGCCGCCATTTTCGTGCTCGGTGCAGAGGGGGCGCAATGCTGATAATTACGATTTGTAAAGGCCACTTCCTGAGCTTTTGGTCAAGCTGTCAAAAACACGCTAACAACTTTTTTTTTTTTCTGTCACCGACCATTTTAACATTTTTTTTTCAAACAAAAAACCGTTTTTCGCGATTCCAAATACAACTTCTGGTGATTAACAACCGTAGGCGTAAGCGCCAATATGGCAGCAGACGTGGAAGTGCCAGAGGAGCGGGTACATCCAGAATCCAAGTTTTTGTGTAACAAAAAAGCCGAAAGAATCCAATCTAATTCAATAGCTAAACTTCGTTACATTAAAGCGCAGCTTTTTTTTTTTTTTTTTCCACTAGCGGGACGTTTGTTGGTTGTCATTTCTAGACCCTTTTTAGACCACAAAGCAGCACCTTATTCAAGTTGACTATGACGTCACTAAGTACTTACCAAACAGGTTAGAGCTAGAATTGAAGCGAAATCGCGGTTGCTTCATCAAAATTAGTATTTTTTTTTTTTTTTAACATGGCACAAGACACATGGACGACCGAGCGGCAGGTTCGTTGTAGAATGCGTCGCAACGCAATGCGGAGCGTACGTTTGTCTGCTACTAGCACAGGGGTTGTGATGATGTCGGAACGTCGAGCTCTTATTGGCTGATCAAAAAAAAAAAATAGTGGGTAGACCTCAACGCTGCTAGCATTGAGGTCTACCCACTATTTTTTTTTCCTTCAGCCAATCAGAGCTCGGCGTCGTTCTGACGTCACCGCAGCTCCTGCGCAAGAAGCAGACGACTTGCTCTCCGCATTATATAGACCTTTTCTGCAAGTGCGCCGCCATCTTGAATTGAAGTCACTTCCAGTATGGCGAAAACATAGTTTTGCCTTTGCCACGCCAATAGAAGGCATTTAGGATATAAGCCTAACCGTTACACTTTGTCATTTTGACTCCCTTTATTTTTTTACTATTTTCAGGTTGAAACGTTGGATTATTTTTTCGTCGCCCATACCGGATACGCCTATTAGGTGGCTGGAGACGAGAGTACACAGAAAGGGTCTATAGAATCATTAACTTAAGTGCTACCCTTTCCGCAATTTGCGCATTCGCAAGCTTAACTCTGCGTATTGGACTTTTTTTTTTTTTTGATACATCTGTTCGGTTTTTAAAGGCGCACTGAACACCCAAAACCCTTTTAGCGAAGTGTCTGGATCAGTGTCTCAAAATAAAATTTTCCTAAAATAAAATATTCCACCACAACAATCAAGTCCCGTCACTTCTTTGAACCGATTTTGAAAAAAATTGTGTTATTTTCGGTCGATGCGCCAAAATCGAACCCACGGTCTCGCAATCGCTCCTTGCTCAAAAGAAGCCTCAAATCGTAAATACTGCCTTCTGTTTTTTCGCTCGTTATTTTTTTTAAAGGGGCACGTGCTTGTTTTTTTTTTTTTTTTTTTTTTTTTTTTTTTTAGAAACGTGTTTATTATAGGCATTCAAAATATTTTAGAAGTTCAATGTTCCTTTAACCATAACAGACGACAAGAAAAGAAACATCCTCCCTTCCAAACACACTCAAAGCAACGTTTCAGAAAGTCCCACTAGCGCGGTTGGCTTAAACTAAAACGTCTCTTTTCAATGGGGAGAAAAAGCAAGTTCGCACTACTTACTTTTTTCTTCTCCCACCCGCAAGTAGTCGTCTCGTCAAACGTGCGCTGTCTTGTGCGATATTGAGTGTAGCTAGAGTCACTATAAGGGCCGGCTGTGGGCACGAGGCCAGTCTGACCTTCGCCTCATTATCCAGGAACGGCAGCTTTATCTTATCTGACTCTGACGTCGCGGTTCAAATGAACGCGCTTCGTAAGAAATGCTGCGATTGTGTTACTGAAATAATACTTAAAAAACAAGCGAGCTGGTGATGATTCATGGTAATAAAACCCGAGACTCAGGACCGTCGTGTTAATCTGCAAAGTAGTCACTGTATGAGAAAAGTGTTTTTTCTAGCGTGCGTTATTTTTTTTTGTCTGTGTGAGGGGGGGGGGGGGAGGAGGGTTAAGTAATAGGGGACTAGATCTCTTATTAATAATTTAGGCACGTGTATTTTTATTATAAATCAATTACAAATTACAGCCGGCAAACGTGGCTGCTCGTTCTTTTGTGATATCGGTCTCCTATGAGTTAACCGTTTTGCACTATGTATTTGTTAGAATTTATACCTTATTGCTACTGTTTGTGTATTATCTTTTTCTAGCTGTTACGGAACTCATTAAACAAATGTGTATAAAAACAGGGGTAACTTTATAAAACAAAGTTTGAATAGATTCCAGTGGAGAACACCGCTGCCTTGTTCCCATATTCAATCATCTAATGCCACTTGATCGCAAGTTAATGGGTTGTCTTTTTTTTATGATTGGGGGTCTGAAAGAACAACGGGTTATAATACCCGGACTTTATATTTTTTTTTTTAGTTACAAGAACACACTAAAATATTCTCAGAATTTTAAAGAATTGGGAATCTAACAGAAATAAACTCCGATAAACCCCGAAATTTCAGCGAAAAAATGAGCCCGAAAACTACCCAATTCATATTTCACGACCAAGACTCTCCGAAAGCACAAAATCCTCAAGGCATAGAAAATGCACGGCCGCCGCTTTTTACTTCATTTTTAATATTTTCTCACCTCTTCCTTAAGCTATATATATTTCAAAAAAAAAAAAAAACATAAATAAACCGCACATAAACTTTTTGCGAAACTAGTATATTCGAATTCGAATTCGAATTTCGCAAGGCGTGCCAAATATGTTAGTCCTAATACGGCCGCATCCTGCAGGTCGCGCCCGTTTTTGTTCACTCCTCCTCCCCCCCCCCCCGTTCCCACCATCCTCTGTTTTTCCCCTAAAGCCTCAGTCGCAATGCTCTACACATCGTAGAAGAGAGACCCTCTGCATACATGTTGACAGAATTGTCTGCGAACACGTGTCGAACATAAGTTCGAAGTATGTCTGCTTCATGCACGTTTCGAACTTGTCGGCAGGCAGTTTTTTGTGTGATCAATGTGACCGTCATCCAAGGAAAAGACACGCCTCAGACAATAGGGAGTTTTAGGGAATCGTTTTCGCACATCCGATTCCGGTATGAACTGCGCATGCGCCCGCAGAAGACTAGCGCATGCGCAGTTCGTACCGGAGGGCCCGCCGTACCGTATCGGATGTGCAAGAACGGTTCCCTAAAACTCCCTAAAGTCTGCAGACAGTCTTTTGTACGACGTAGTGCGAACGCATCCTTAGGAGTCAAGTCCCGTGTAGACGGTCATTGAAGAAAAACACTGCTCGGAGACACCTTGTCAGCAATTAACGGATAGCTGAACGAATACGGGTGAAACCCTTCGAATCGACTGAGTCGCATGCACCTGCGATGCACTCGGTCAGATTTAATCAAACGGGAAGTACTGTGAGGACCATAGTTTAATCTATTGTCTTCGTGAAACATCGCTGCCGCATATTCGTAAGCGGCAATTGGGAATGAGTCACGCTTGCGACTCTAGAAGCAATGTCCGAACCTCCCTTATCGACTGCTCGCTTCTCTTGAGCACTATGGCTTATCGGCTCTTATGCGTAAGCGTTCTGATGCTAGCGCATTAAAACTTCTTTTCAAATCGACCAATTTTTGTAAAGATAGCAGATGGCGATAGCTCAAGACAACGTTCGACACGGTGTTCCACAAGAGAGTGCGCAAAGACCCACATTTTTAAATACGGTCATCGCTACGCTACCGGGCCGTTTCCTACCACCACCCCATGTAACAATTTATGCAGTCGACATATGTATGAACACTTTACAAGACCATCTTCAAAACGGACTGAGCCCCGTAGATCAGTTCTCAAGTGAGCAGGAAATGGATATTACCCCTTCAAAAACAGTAATGCATTCATTCGCAAAAAGGCACCTCCGAGGATTCTAGTTAAAACTGCAGGTACAGAGTTTAGAAGGCGTCTCTCATCATCGATATCTTGACCTAGTTATGAACCTCTACAAAAGTCTTTCTTGGGTAAGACATATTAACGTGCTAGATGTAAAAATGAACAAGGTGATAAACATTTTTTTTGTTATTTTGCTGGTATTCAGTAGGGCGCTTCAACAAAATACACGATAGCTTTGCATTCTGCTCCGGTGTGGTAACCTATTACATATTCACTCCCGCCACTCCATGAATTATACAAGTTCTGGAGAATATACTTATATATGATCGCCCGCAGTCTTCGGATCTGCTTAGGTGTTCCACGTCCAACTCGTGGGCTCCTAGTCTTAGCGAAAACAAGGCAGCTCCCAATCCAAACATTGCGCGAAAATGACATCGTATACGCCATTTCCTACGCTTGTCCAATGAGCATCACGGACACCCGCTAGCGGAAAGTTTGACAATGAGAACAGGTTTCCATATTTCCTCGACACTGACATCGTCAAGCAGCATTGTTCCTGCATGCAAAATGGGTGTAGGCCCGTTTGTCATGTGCGCATTCGTCATAGGCCAACTGGTAATAGGCCCGTTCGTCACAGCGGAACATTCGTCAGAGGGAAATTCGTCACTAGGAAAGTTTGTCACTGTGCGAACCGGATATTCGAACTTGCCCAACTTATATTGACTTGGTTTTGCATGCAATAAAGATTAGTACTTTATATTTCATTTTTACTGAAGAGAGGGAACATCCAAACAAGTCATCATTGTACTTAAAAAACAACAGGTTTATTAAGCGAAATAAAAACAAATTAAACAGCAATGTTCTGAGCTGCCGCCCTCAAGGTTTCAAGATGATTGCGACCATCGTAGCGGCTCACAATGATCTGAAGACGCCGGTTGCAGTCGTCCTACCTTTTGGACAACCTCGAAGATGTCGTGCCGCCCTCTACTTGAGCCATCTTCATCTCTGCCAAGGACTGCTCTCTCTCTTTATGCAGCCCAGGAACGCCCAGATATTGGGAGAACTGCAGCCCACGTTGCTCTTGCATAAAAAAAAAAAAAAAAAGAACACACACACACAGGTGGAGGAAGCCTTCCGAGTGGGCACCGTACTGAAAGTTTGAGCCACAAATGCAAAAATGTACTACAGAAAACTTCCAAGTTCTCAGAGGATTAGTTCAGCTCTTACCTGCAGTCCCCGGTGCCACGCTTTGATGCTGTTGTTCGTCCTTGGCATTTGTGCTGGTGTTGATTCTCTGACTGACCAAACCAGAGGAGGGAAAGTGGCCGACGACAAGCCGTTTCGACGGGGTCTCTTGATATACGTGCACGTCCTCGGAGTCGTCCGCCACGAGTGAAGCATCGGTGGGGAAAACCTCGAGGAGGTCCTAGAAGGCCTCGGGAATGTCGACGATTGGCAAGAAGGCCAATGCTGAAACAATTCTCATCTGAAAATCCACAAAAAATAAAATAACCAAATGGCTTGACTTATGACGTCGAAAGAATCAGAATTCTTTCGCTGTCGCCTTCTCCGCTGTCGTAGACGAAAAAGGAGTCTCCTTAAGCTGTGGTCGACCTGCATGCAGATAAAACAGTCATTATTATCATAATATGTCGAGCACTGTGCTTTTGCGCTGCAATGCGCTTTACCTTAAACTGTGTGGGCATTCATATGTCGGCTCTACAAGATGGTACGCTGTACTCGAAATTCGCCCGCTGCCTTTGCTTGCGGATTGTGCGCCGAAGTGTTGACGGTGCGAGAATCTGCGATGCACTGTCGTCACAGGCAGCTGCATCCAGAAGTATTTGGTGCGGTGCTAGACGGCCTTCGACTGGAATAAAGGACATTAGTGAGGATAGAATTTACAGAGAAGATGCAAGCGAGCTGGTGAGCTTTCAACATTGTAAAACCCGACACTTAGGACAAAAAAAGAAGAACAAAGAGAACATGTTGTCCCGTTTTTCTTTTTTTCTTGTCCTACGTCTTGGGTTTTACGTTGTTGGACATTAGTAAACTTGTTTTGGGAGTATAAGAGCAGGAACATATTTTGGTACACACCAGCCTTTTCCTTCATCTGATGACGAATCCGAAGACCGTTTATCTCGGTGGAGTCAAATGCATGCGTATGGTCACTGGAATAAGAGATTACACGAGTCTTGGCGTGATCGGTGACTGTTTTAGTTTTACGAACTCCTCTTCGGCGGCAGGCCGAATACAACGTAGTTTCTCTAACCTTAATGCAAGTGTAGGAATGTCCTTCGTGAAGAAGCATATCGCCCACCTCTCTTAGTGAGATGGGAAGCAAAATAGATCCGTCTTTTATGAATCCGGAAGCAACCGGCAAGATAAAACTCTGAAGCGGAAAAAAAAAGAAAAAAAGAATCGGCTTCAGTGGGCAATTTTTTTATTGTAAACTTTATGTTTTCGAAGTTCTTCTGTTAGTAAGATGACCCAGATAAGACAACATGCAGGCTAAAGGTTGCACGTTGCCTTATGTTGGGGTCATTGGAACATGCTTTTGTTCCGGTTCGTATGGTAGTCATTCTCACCGACCTTAATTGTGCCGATTTGGTTGGGTGAAACAAAATAGAAAAAAAAAGAGAACGTTTAACGATCTCGGGGTCACTTTGTGACGAACTGCCAGCGTAACGAATCATCCTATGACGAATGTTCCACTGTGACGAACGGGCCTGTTACCAGTTGCCCTATGACGAATCGACATGTGACGAATGGGCCGTATCCCATGCAAAATGGGGTATTGAGACGTCAATCGAGCTC